AATCTTCTAAGTAAATTATACTATCTGCCCAAATGGAATTTAGTCTCCAAGGTATGAAGGCTGGAAAACAAGGATAGGGTCCTCCTTATCTGGTCCTAGAGAAGGATTCAGCCCACTGCTTGCTCCTTTCCTTATTTACTTTGAAGCAAAGCATACCAATAACTAAGTCTTAGCAACTTACAAGAAACTCCCTGTCATTGTTTTCCTCATTTAGTGTAAAGATTTATTGGGAAAACAAGGAGGAGAAAATCCATTCTATTTCCCTATATTATTCAACTGGTTCTTCATTTTCAACTTGAATCACACAACCATGAAAAAAGACAAGCAATCCTATAGAAGTCAGAAGTAATTCAGGCAGCGGAAAAAAGAAAAAAAAAAAAGAATTCTATTTAACATCTTCAGAGATTTTGGAAGGACAGAGGAAAAACTGGAGGCATATGAAAGAATAGAATTAAAAGAACAACAGAGGTAGGCACACCTGTAATCTCAGCTAGTCAGATAGTGAAGATCGGGAGGATGGCACATGATTGAGGCATATCCAGCCAAAAAGTTAGTGAGACCCCATCTCAACCAACCAGTTGGGCATGGTAAAACATGCCTATAATCCAAGCTACGTGGGAGGCACAGATAGGAAGAATGCAGTCTGAAACCTTCCTCAGCAAAAACGCAAAACCCCATCTGAAAAATAACTAAGGCAAAAAAGGTCTGTGGGCATGTCTCAAGTGGTAGAGTGCAAGCCAAGCAAGGTGAGACCCTGAATTCAAATTTCAGCACTGCCAAAAAAGAAATAATAATAATAATAAAAGTTTAAAGAAATTAAATATAGAAAGCTTATCTTCCCCCTGCCACATACAAAAAGATAGAAAAGTTGGGGGAAAAAATGAAGAAACACAGAGGAACAACTCAATGGTATAACAATCTCCCTAAAAAAAGGTAATGAAATTTTTTCAAAAGTCATCCTCCCTGCCTCTAGTACACACATACAAAGGGAGGAAAAATAACTGAAAGGACCCAGAGAATTCAGAGTAGGAAAAATAAAAATACACAGACCAACATCCCTATCTCCCACCTGCCATCTTTGATCTAAAGCAGAGGCTGTCAAACTAGGGCCTACAGCCAAATTCAGAAAACTCTGCTTAGTAAGCAAAGTTTTACTAGAATAGTCATGCTCATTTAGTACATGCTGTCTTACAAAAGAAACCATACAGATTGTAAAACCTAAAATATTTATTATATTGATGAGAGAAAAAAGATGTTACCCAAATAGCTAACAAAAATATGAACTAGTGTTCAACTTCATCAATCCAAACCCTAACAATAATGCTATTCCACAACCCTCCCAAATGGTAAAATGAAAACAGAAAATGTTAAATGTTGTTAAGGATGAAAAGCAACTGGAATTCTCAAGCAATCATAATAAGAGTGTAGGTTGGTAAAATTATGTCAGAAGACATGCTGGAAAAAATATTTAACCATAAATTAGAAACTATCCAAATCCCTTTCAACAGTGGAATGGGTAACACATTTATATAATACCTTACAGCAGTAAGAATGAGTCATTCACAACCATACACTTTAATAAGGAACATTTCAAAATCAAACATTGATCAAAAAATGTCAAAAACAAAAGTACACCCTGTATGGCTTCATTTATATAAAGTAGATAAAACAAAACTATGATGATAGAGATTAAGACTGTGATTTGCTTTTGAGAGTGTGGTGACAGGAAGGAGGCAAAGGAGATTACCTGAAGTCAAGAAACTTCTGTGTAGGCACGACCTTAACATCCATTTCTTCAAACAAGTTATTAGAATAACAAGACTAGTAGTGAGCCTCCATAATATCTTTCTTATACATGCTATCTGCACAAACACAACTGTAATATGGACCCTAGAGCTAGGGGTACCTACTTGTATAAATGGGGTGCTAGTTTCTTGTCCATTATATGTTTTCTGGTGTTCCTTAACTTGGTGGTCTATAGTTGAAGATTTCCTGACTTCAATTTTAACTGAAGACTGAGATTGTTATAAAGACTGATGTCACTATGCTAGCATGATAAGATGGCTTTAACTGACTGAAGTGGAATTTAAGGGATAAGTAGGAGTTCACTACTGACCATTTGGAGGAAAGAAACATGGTAAATACAAGAAACTAAGTAAATTCTAGAAAAGAAAAAGAAGAAACATGGAAAGAGCAGTTCAGACAGTGATGATGAAGAAAAGAAACACGAGAAACTAAAAAAGGCACTGAATGCAGAGGAGGCTCACCTTCTTCACGTCAAGGAGATCATGCAGATTGATGAAAGGCAGTGGCCTTAAAACAGCATATATGAAACTTGGGAGCCCACCAAAGAGGAAATGGAGGCCTATAGAATGAAGCATCAGAAGCCAGATGACCCTATGGCCTTTTTCCTTGGACAGCAGTAACTAGTCTAGAAGGTCATCCATGAGATACACAACCAATGTGTTCTTTTCAGCTTCCTGCTGCTGCTGATTCTTCTTGCTTCCTGACTTTAATAAAGCTTTCAGAAGTCTCAAAAAAAAGAAAAAAGAATTTAAAAAGTGATGTGGCTGGGCGAGGGTGGCTCACACATACAATCCTAGCAGCTACTCAGGAGGCAGCGATGAGGAGGATCACAGTTCAAAGCCAACCCAAGCAAATAGTTCACAAGACCCTATCCTGAAAATATCTAACACAAAAAAACGGCTGGTGGAGTTGCTTAAGAGGTAAGCACCTGCCTAGCAAGCATGAGGCCCTGAGTTCAAACCCCAGTATCACCATAAATAAATATATACATACATAAATAAAACAAAGTGATGTGGTTAGAAGTAGGTAGTAGGAACTGCAGGCAGGTTCATAAAATTTTTGTTCTTCTAAAGGGCTGGTGGAGTGGCTCAAGTGGTAGAGTGCCTGACTAGCAAGTGTGAGGCCCTGAATTCAAACCCCGTTGCTGCAAAAAAAAAAAAAAAAAAAAATTACTTTATTCTTTAATAGTATCATATCAAGAATATATCCTAATTTCATGAATGTCTTGCTGTGTATATATGTTGTGATTCCCAAATTCTAGTAGAAGTTGGAAAATAATTCTGTTCTAGTAATGAGGCAAACAATGCATCACTTTAATCACCTCAAGAAAACTAAAGGGTAAATAAATACAATAGGACACCAAAGAATCTATAATGAAGAATTATATAAAATTATTTGCAGTATGTTAAAGTTTTCAGATCAAAACAGTCAAGAAGTTTCTATTTGATACCGGATTGGTTTGTCACTTTTTCTCTTAGTCTCCCTACTGCTTATAGCTACAGTACAAAATTGGCACAAATATTTAAAGAATTCTTTTTAAGTGCTACGTTGTTTTCTATGTGTTAATCTTATCTCCCTCAGTAAGACTGTTCTTATTTACTACACTCTAAAATAACAACATTCCAGCTAAGCAGACAGTAAATCACTCAACAGTCATTTGAGTGATTGACTAAAGATTTGTTCTGGTGAAAGAGTTGAAATTAGAACAAACTTGATCAAAGCTTTGTTAAACTTACAAGTTTGTTTTTTTTTTCTTCTGAATGACTGTTTACAAAAAATAGCGAAATAAAACCCCTAAATAAAAAAATCCAGTCACTATTTAGCAAAGCTGATTTCAATTTTTCTAATGTCATCAGCCAGTTTCAACAGGTCACCAAGATTTAAAACGATTCAATGGCAAGAATTTCAATGAGGTTTGGATGCATTTAAAAAATACCACTATCCAGATGCAGGAGCACCTGCCTATAGTACTAGCTCCTTGAGAGGCTAAGACAGGAGGATGACATAGGCCTAAGAGTTCAAGACCAACCTGGGCAACATAGCAAGACCCCATCTCTCAAAACAATTAATCAATTAGTTAGTAACTAAGGGTATCACTGATTACTGTCAAAGTTAAAAAGACAATGAATGTAATATTGCAGGTGTCGATCTGCGAACCCCTTTAGTTCAGACATTTCTCAAACATGAATGCCTTATTCACTGTCCCCCTGCCCCACCCCTGCAATCCCTCCATCTTATTTGGAAAAAAAAATTAAATCCCCAAACGCAGCTCTAAATGACATGCTTTTCCACATATAAACTTCATATTGTAGTAAGAAACCTCCCTATTCAGAGTTCACCAATCACTAGAAAAATTAAGAGCGCAAAACTAATTCTTATCAGGTGTTTTTTTTTTTGGGGGGGGGAACTTAAAGTATTTTCTGTTATTTGCAGCTGCTTTAACAGCAAGCGACAATTAAATGTGTGAACAAGGTTGTCAGAGTAACACTTGTCACTCACACCGCTATGGAAAGACATTCCAAGACTTCCAGAAGCACTAATTAAAATTAACTGAAACTCCTCACAGGGATTTGTCAGAGGGGGACAGTTGGTCAGACAGAGGGACACAAAATCGCCCCGAGGTTCAAGAGTTTTTACTCTGAGGTTTCAAACCCAACTCCACTAGGCACTAAGTACGCCCAGACGCTCACCATGCAACTCCTTTAGGTATCGGAGCCCATCCTTTCCAAAGAACACCGAAAAGACTTCCTGGGGAGGGCGGAGCAGCTTTCGTTTACACACAAGGGAATAAGGCACAGGAAAATACTCTCCTTTTTACTACTGAGCACGCCCTAACTAGCAGATGCTTGAGAAGCCGCGATGACTTATCGCTCCATCCAGCTTTTCTTAACGTGAATCAAAACTCTACTTAAAACGAGACAACAGTTGAATGAATGATTCTACCCACCTCCGGCCCCAAGAAACCCGGGAGACCCTCCCCCAAGCCTCAGGTGGGCCTTTCTCACCTAAGTCCCGCTGTAGTCTTCGGTCATTACGTAGTACGCACGTTTCAGCAATACGCCTTGTGATTGGTTAACTCAGGTGGGAAGACGCAGTCCTATTGGCTATATTAGGGCGAGAGGAGGAACTTCGGAGCTGGCTCTGACAGGCCGGCTGCTTGAGCTCCCAGAGTTCCTATTGGGTCAACACGGGACGATCAAGATGGCGGCAGTGGCAACCTGCGGCTCTGGCGCGGGCGGTACAGGGTCTGTGGCAGCTGCAGCCGGCAAGAGCAACGTCACCAGTTTCCAGAGGAGGGGTACTAAAGCCAGTGGTACCGACAGCGGCGGCCCTCGACTGGTGTCCATTGCGGGCACGCGACCGTCAGTGCGGAACGGACAACTGCTGGTATCAACCGGGCTACCAGCCCTGGACCAGCTCTTAGGTCGGTTCAGAGATCTGGGTTCAGCCTAGGGAAAACTTAGGGAGGGGACCTGTCCAGGGAATCCACCTTGACCCCACATATCACTCCCTCTCTCTCCCTTCCCCGCCTCCCCCGAAAAAAAAAAAAGAAAAAGAAAAAAAACGTGGAGAGGATAGGCTGGTCTGATAGAGATGGAGGGGAAGAAGGATTGCGTGGAGATTTCTAAGTGCTTTTACTAAACCCGTTTTAGTGCCCAACTGTCCACCAGCCCATTTGCAGATTTCGACGGGATTCCTTCATGCATTTACCCTGAAATATTTACTAGTGAACGGGAAACCAATACATGGAAGTGGCTTGGCTTTCATCCAGGATGATCTCGGTTGCTTGAATACATCCTTCCACCAAGCAAGGTAGCTTAAGGCTAGGGCTAACTAACAAAAGTTTTTATTTATTGTAAGAGAAGGGCTTTATTAGAAAGAGCTGAAAAAAGTATTTACTTTTTCACCGCCCTTCTGCTAATCTTAAGTCCTAAACCATATTGGCTTTACGGCAGTGGGTGTTAAAGATGCGTGTGGACTCAAAGTAGTTAAAACCAGTCCGTGATATCTGGATAGTTCTACCCCTATCTGCATTAAGTGTTTGTGTTTGTGCGTACATAAATATATAGCTATTTTTCTATATACATTTTGCTTCCATCAGTTGATTGCAGCTACTTGCCAGATGGCAGCTTTAAATTCAATTCAGATTTTAACCAGAAAAAAAAAGTCCAGTTCCTAGGCTTTCCTTTGTAGTCTCTGGAATTTTTAATGAGAAATCTTTTGAAAGAATATCCTTGTTTCATAAAACTGTTATGTTGAAAGGATTGATCAGGTTAGATTGGTAGGACAACTCTGTGTTAATAAAGTTTGTAGATTAGTTCATTTCTGTCTGAATGCTGCTTCATTAAAACTGGTCTGTTTACATTTCATAAATTTTTCATAGTGTGTGGTATGTGTCTGTTAAATCTACTACACTTTTATAATGTACTACAACAGTCATTGCTTGTTCTTGTACTTGATATTTTCTCTAAGCCCACCTCCCCACCCTGACCCCCAAGGTAGGCTTTTCAAATATGTTTAATTCAGATGAAAGTGACAAGACAAGCAATCTATCAGAAAGAGTATGGCTTCTTGGTTGTGACCTTGCTGAGTCCAGGTTGTTTCTACATAAATTTTAAGTATTTTTCTTAACTATTTCAAGTCCATGGTCCTCTAGAGTTGCATGGTACTAAAAACAGAAGTGATTCAAAATAAATAGCAAATATTTCTTTCACCTTTTCCCCTTGGTGTCCTGTGTTTGAACTTAAAAGTTTTAGAAGTTATTCCCACTAGTCCTTATACATATACATTTTTAATTAAATGGAAGTATGTAACTTTCTCATTTGATACTAAAACTCTCCAACGAAAATGCCACCCTTCTGACATTACGCTTTCATTTCCTCATTAATATAAAAAAAGTTCTTGATTGAAAGAAACATAATGTATAGGGGGAAAAAAACTAGACAAGACATTGCTGAAGCATGTAGAAATAGGTGTTTTGAATTCTAAAAAATGATTCCGAAATTATGGGTTGGAGGTGTAGCTCAAGCGTACCACTTGAGCTAACAGTCACAAAGCCCTGAGTTCAAACCCCACTACTGCCAAAAAAAAAAAAAATTAAGCAATATGAACAGTCACAGAGCTCCTGACCATGTGGACTGATCTTTAGTGTTTTCTGTGCTATACTACAGCTGTCTCAAATTTTTGCCAAATGTTTTGAGAAAATTTTAACCATTTGCTGAACCTGAGATTAATGATTTAACTATGGTTTCTCAAGCAGCCACCAAGAAGAGAACTCAGTACATATCCCATGTGTTTTCTACAGAGATACAAATTTGAACATTGATTCTTTTTTTTAGTTTTTCATATTTGCTTGGATGTGGAAGATTTTAGTATTTAATAACATGCTAAAAATTAGAAGACATTGAGATGATTGAAATAATATCAGTTGAAATTTTGAAAATGTTTTACATGTATATAGTTTATTTTCAAAATTTACAGACATTGAAAATGTTACAAGAGTTATTGCATTGAGAATCATAAATATGTTCAGAAGTAATTCAGTTGTTAACTTCTTAATTACATTTTTCTATGGTTCTCTATCTTGTATGTTCCTGTGGGGCAAACAGTTTACATTTAGTTTTCATTAAAACATTATTTGAAAGTGAATCATTAGGCTGCTAATGTGTGTACATCTAAGTATGAGCACTTGAGACTATATTGTAACTTTAAAATGTTATTTGACTCCAATTGTGACAAGCCTAATATGACCATATTGTGACAAAATGTAATAATAGGATATTGTATCAGAATTATGAGACTATATTGTGACTTTGTGTGGTTCCTATATAGTAAGCAAATAGTGTATTATACTAATGCCACCATGACATCATTGTTATTTTAAGTAGAGGTGCAAAACACATTTGAAAGTCATTATTAGCCTAATTGAATGTTAAATATGGAATGTTAAGTATGGAATTGGAAAGTGTGGTGCTACATGTTCAAAATGGATTCAGAAGTTTGTAGTGGTCTCCATGTGCCACAAACTGAAATTAAACATTTAGTTTAACCTTGTCCGAAAGCAAACCCTTTTACTCTGATCCTTTATGATTGTTATCACCAGATACATTTCACTTTATGTTACTCTTTTCATCTGAATAGTACTTGAAGTTACCCTCTTTAGTCTGGTATGGTTTTAAATGCTATCATGCAGAAACTTGTCTCAATATGAAATTAAAATGTATATTCAGTCCTATAATGAATGCACTTTGAGCATGTAAATGTACTAGTTTTTTATTTCTCTAGCAGTTTGAATTGTTTTATGTACTAAAATTGATTTCAAGTATCATAAATCAGATAACAAATGACATGTTTTATTCTGGGTACATGAAGCTAGCTTTCGGATTATTTGAAATAAAAATTACTTATGTTTATTTGCACGGTAAAAAAAAAACACCACTAAGAGATCTTTTCATAGTGTTTTTATATGACATCTACCTCTACAAAACTATTTTAGGAAAAGTTCTTTATTGGTGTTCTAAATATAAATGTTTCTTTCAGTTTTGTGTACATACACACAATGAATAGTAACATTGTCTTCAGAGGTTCAGTAACTTGGAGTAGTGTCTTTCAAATCATTCAAATGCATTTGCATTCATTGTTCAAATATGCATCTTTTGCTTGTAAGTGAATGTTAGTATTTGAGACATTAATCACAAATACTAATACTTTTACAAATGGAATGAAGGAAAAAAGTATAATGAATTCATCTTTTTAGCATAGTTCAAGTTTTTAAAACTTAACGTGAATTTTTATTTCTTTGCGGTGTGGGAATCGAACCCAGGCCTTGCACATGCTAGACAAGCATTCTGCCACTGAGCTATGTCCCCAATCTTGAAATGATTTTTAATGATTCACTATTTGAGTTATATATGCATGATCATATTACCCTATTTCAAATATTTAAGCGAACACTAATAATATTAAAAATGTGTTTTGTGATTTGTCCTTTTGTGTTTGAAATGGCAAAAATATTGTTAATTTTAAGTTCTAAATTTATTTAGAACATGTCCAGACTTTGTGTATATTATTCATAATTTTTATAAGCAAATTCGCTTTAATTATTAATTCTTTTCTACAAGAAGAATTTGTCCTCTAAATTGAGGATAAATATTAAAGTAGAATTTCTTTAATTCTACTTTAATTAGAATTAAATAATAATAATTCTAATAATAGAATTAGTAGCCTTTCTTTTCTATGTTGTATTTCTGTATAGTTAAGTCACCGTGCACACTTAGATCTTAGCTATCGAGTTAATTTATTAACAAGTGCTAACTATAACATTATTAGAGTGCTTAAACACACTTATGTTGAATGTTGCATGGTCTTATCATAGGAAAAAGAATACTACAACATATTATGAAAGTAATTGTAATGTGTAGTATATAATTATATATAATATGTAATTATTTCATAATAGCACCGTGAGCAAAGTATTGCAAAAGTAATTAAAATGTTGTTCACAACTGCAGTTTTAAAGTTAATTGAAATACCTGTCCTTGACAAGCCTAACTTTTATGCTAAAATTAATTCAAATGGAACATTAACTTTCTTTTTGGTTTTGTTTCCTTTCCAGGTGGAGGTTTAGCTGTTGGAACAGTTCTTCTGATTGGTTAGTATAATCTGATTGGTTAGTATAAAATACATGCTTTGCTGTTCCCAGTTTTCTTTTGTGTATAATATATGAGCTTTCCCATTTTAATATTAAATATTTAAACTATTAACTCTCCAAAGAAGTTGAGGTAAATTGGACAGAAATTGCCTTAATTCTAACTTAAATTCAAATACTGATCTGAACTTGAAATGGGCAAATATATTTGAACATGTAGCTGTTATCACTTAAAAATATTTTTAGTGCATTGTGCTCTGTTTATTTTTTGTTTGTTTTTGGTGGCACTGGGATTTGAACTCAGGGTCTCACACTTGCTAGGCAGGTGCTCTACAACTTGAGCCACTCCACCAGCGCTCCATTTAAAGACTAAATTTGGACGAGGGTATAGCTCAGTGGTAGAGCACCTGCCTAGCATGTGTGAGGCCCCGGGTTCCATCTCAGCACCAAAATAAATAAATAGTAAATTTAATGTCAGTACAGGCATGGTGACTCATGCCTGTAATGCCAGCTACTCTAAAAGTGATTGGAGATCAGCCTGGGCAAAAAGTTAGCAAGAACCCACCTCATCCAATACCTTGGTGTGGTAGTGCCCACTTGTCATTCCAACTGCATGGCAGGTGTAAATAGGAGGATCATGGTCCAGGCTGCTAGGCAAAAAACATGAGATCATATTTCAAAAATAACTAAATCAAAAAGGGCTAGGGGTGTGGCTCAAGTGGTAGAGTGCCTGCCTAGCAAGCGTGAGGCTCTGATTTCATAAAAGAGTTAAGTTCCATTTTAGAATGGTAAAGTCTTAAATAATAAAAATAATGTTTTAAAAGTGGAATTTTTAAAATGAGTTTTCAAATTTTCAAACACAAAAGGGTCTTATTTAATTATGTTCAGGGAGGAAACAAGTTGCAACACATAAAAATTAATAGTTCACATGATCAGCATTTCTCTATTGCAGTCAGAAAGTTTTCTCTTTTTTAAAATAGTAAAATGATATATGAGGACTGCTATAACATCTCTTAGTGTACAATATTTGTTAGAGATTCATTTGTATCATTGTAGTTTATTACTATTAAAATGTAATATCTTAATTTTCTCAAGTCATGCTCTTTAATCATTTTTGGTCCTATTTTCACTCAATCTAAACATTAACTTTCATATGCCTTTTGGAATACCAGTTTACCCTCTTCTCACCCTTGGCAACACTATATATTATCAAACATTTTAATATTTATCAGTCCAAGTTGATTAGGTTATCAGATTAGGAGTCCACTCTGCTAAATTCTCTTACTTTTCTCTGTTCCAAGTCAGTTTCACCTGTATAATGAGTAACATCTGCCTTAAATGGAGGAGTAGTTCTAAAATATAAATTAAATTGGACATTTAGATTAGTGACTAGGAGCCTGGGGTATTACTATATTGCTCAAACTAAAAGATTAGTTTTTATTTTGGAAGAGTATATTAAAACATGATTGTTTACATTAATAAATTTTCATTACAAATTGCATGTTTTTTACTAGGTTCTCATTAAGTAGATCATTCATTTTCCAAAACAACTGTATGTATGCAAAACTATGGCCTTTTAGAGTTTCACATTTATAGTTTTAGTCTCATTGTAGTATTGGAAACAAGAGCTAGTGAGCACTAGCAGAGAAACCAGGAAAAAAAATCTACTTTAGAACGTAAAGATATTGCAAAATAAGTAAATAGGGATATATGAAAGGTCATTCTCTGACCAGTAAATCATGGAAAATAAACTTTTCTTAAAACGTACTTAATTGTTTAGTACTTGTGTTAGCCAGCTTTCCATCACTGTGCCAAAATAACTAGGAAAATCAACTTACAGGAGGAAAATTTTATTTTGGCTCACTACTTCAGAGACTTTATAGTCCATGGTCAGTGGGCTTCATTGCCCTGGGCCTGTAATGAAGAAGAACATCATGGCAGTCAGAGCAAATGGCAGAAGAGACTGTTTACTTCATGAGGGCCAGGAAGGCAGGGGGGTGGGGGGGGGCAGAAAGAAAGACAGACAGAAAGGAAAACACACTCTTCAAAGGTAAGCTTCCAGTGACCTATTTCCTTATGTTTTCTACCACCTCCCACTAGTCCACTTAGCTGTGAATCAATCAATTAATTAATCCATTGGTGAGGTTAGAGCCTTTGTGAACTAATCATCTTCCAAAGGCCCCACCTCTGAATGCTGCTGCATTCGGGACCAAGTCTTCAATACATGAGATTTGAAGGTACATTTCAGATCCAAACCAATAGTACTGGAATAGGTTTTGAGATGCTTTATGCTGAAATTGCTTCTGACAATCTGATACATGAGTAAATCTGAAAACGTTAGAAGTCTCAAAAGTGAAGTGTTGACAAATAATGATTATTCATCTATTTTCAGTGATACTGGCTATCAAACAGGTTTTATAGAAGTTGTCTCTAATAAAAATATAAGCTATTTAACTTTTGTGAATATATTATTTTTACAGTAATCTCTTATATTAATTATATAATTTTAGTTCTAGATGTAACAGAAAGATGATGTGCCATTGGATTATTAGTTACACTACAGATATTCCTCAATATACCCATCATAATCAAAAGATCTTAAGTTATAGGACTATAAGTCAGGACTACCTAGATTTATATATACTTTTCAATAATTAATTCTATATTCCTGTGTAACAATATTGACAGATTTAGTAGCTTAAAACAATGATCTGTAATCCTAGCTACTCAGGAGGGAGATACCAGGAGCACTGCAGTTCAAAGCCAACCCATCACAAAAAAGTACTGATGGAGTGGCTAACAGTGTAGGCCCTGAGTTCAAGTCCAGTACTGCCAAAAGAAAAAAAAAGCATTTTTTATCATGTTGTGATTTCTGTAGTAAGAAGTTCAGGCACAGCTTAGCTGGATTAAAGGGGTCAGCCAGGGCTGGATTCTCATCTGAAGGTGCAGCCCAGGAAGAATCAGCTTGCAAGCCCTCTTGGTTGTTAGCAGCATTGACAGCATTGAGTTCCTTGCTGTTTGGCAGTCAAAGGGTGTCCTCTCCGTTACGGCAGCTCACAAGATGGCTTTTTATTTTTTCAAAATCAGGAAGGAAGACTATCTTTCTGTAAGATAAATGTTACAGTCTTTTAAGTCACAAAAGTGACATCACATCATCTTTGCCATATCCTCTTAGTCAGAAGCAAATCACAGATTCTTCTACCCTGGGGTAAGGGTTTACACAAACACGTGAATACCATGAGACAGGAATCATGGTAGATGAATCCACCTTAGAAAGTGTACACCACACATTTAATTTGTTATTATTTCCTATAATAGTAAAAACTAAGCATTTTCAGAATGTCTCTCATAGGATATTATAATGTTCTTGTCAATTGTCTTCAACCCTTTTGAATTTGCTGAACTATATTTCTCTTCTATATCAGACAATAAATTTTGAGCATTTTTCTTACTATGCAGAAGTTGATAACTACATTTGAATAAAATTTATTGGAATACATCCAAGCTTACTCATTTGCACATTGTCTTGGTTGCACTTGTGCCACAAGGGCAGGGTTGAATAGTTGCAAAAGAGACTATGATCCACAAGCCTCAAATGTTCACTTTCTGACTTTTTCTGAAAAATCTTTCCAATTTCTCTTTTGCATTATTGTATTTTTCATCTTAATTTATTTTATAGTAGTATTGTATAACTTTGGTAAAGAACTGAAATAGGGCAACCTGATATCCGTGAAGTTGATTAGTAAAACAACTTGACCTTTAGTTCTGTAGCATGTAAGTTCCTACAGTGTTTTCAGCACTGTTAGGTAATAAAAAAAAAAAAAAAATCTCATTTTTAACCCCTTATGAACTGGATATTGGTTGCACATGGAATAACCATACATAGTACATATATAAAATGTAAATGTTAATGTAGATGTAAGAAGTATGGAAAATATTTAAGTTGAATCTGAGTTTGGGTAGAAATTCAAGAAAGGTGAATAAAACAATTACTCAGAAGAAAAATAGTATTGACAAATGCACTAGAGGACATCAGTAGCTATGCTCATGTAATAACTAGATAGCAAACCCTTCCAAAGTAAAAAAGTGCATATTTAGCACTGAAGAGAAAGTTTAGCTTCCTTCTTCTACGTCTCTTGTCTCAGTTACCTGGTATTCAAATTATAAAAACTTCAGAACCCCCACACCAGCCCCCACAACCACAGTGTGTGAAGACCAGGCTGTTAGCTTATTATCCACCAGAGGATATCTGGGGTTTTTGCTTGTTTAAACTTTATAACCAGTTAAATTCATCATGCTTGCTTCCTTGTTATATTTGGTCATTGTCTAAGAATTCAGCTGTTCCAATGATCTTATCTCCGTAATACATTTATCTCCAGGATACTTTATTATTTTTCTTTTTAAGACTCAATTTCTTACTACTTACTTCCCTTCCAACACTTTCCAATTTGTTCTCTATAATACTTATTTCCTGTAAAACAAACTCAGGGATCCTAAAATCTTATCATTAAATATTTATTGAAGTATTTAACATTATTGGCGTTTTTTGGTATGCCTGGTATCATACTAAGCCCTAAACATGTATATTTTATCATTTAATTTTACAATTTTCAGATTAAGTGTCTACATTTAAAGGTGATAAAATTGGATTTTTGAGAGAAACACCATAACTTGCCTTAAGTCACACTCATGGTGGCTGAGATTGACAATCAGATATCTCTAGTATTAAATCATCATTTTATATTAAAATCTGATAACTCATCTTAAAGAAATCCCATCTTTGACTGTTGTACCTTCTATACCATCTCATTATAGCCATTTATGAAGTTCTTGGTTATTTCCATCATTTATTAGAGAGTATCATAATCAAGTGAGCTTTCAACACTGGCCAGAATACGTTTGTGTTATTTCAGTCACCATTTTTCATTCTCAGTAATCTCAATGGTCTTTTCAACTTTCATCCCTCAAGCTTCCTTCATTACTACTTTCCCTTTAATTCTCTG